AACACAAATCAGAAACCAACCCGCATCATTGTCTACCGTGATGGAGTATCCGAAGGACAGTTTGCCGAAGTACTCCGAGAAGAGATCCAGGTCTGAAATCTGGTCCAACATCTATCACCAAATGATTTGTCTATTTCCAGGGTATCCGTTCAGCATGCATGATTCTCTCACCAGATTACCGGCCTCCTATCACCTATGTGGTCGTACAGAAACGTCATCATGCCAGAATGTTCTGCAAATATAGTACGGACATGGTTGGAAAAGCTAGAAATATCCCGCCTGGCACCACTGTCGACACCGGAATCGTCTCGCCTGAAGGCTTTGACTTCTATTTGTGTTCACACTATGGCGTACAAGGCACTTCTCGCCCAGCTCGATATCATGTCCTTTGGGATGACAACAATTTTAGCGCAGATGAAATGCAGGCAATCACTTATGGGTCAGTATCACAACCTTTGAGCAGCTCAGATGTTGATTCTCAGCTTTAGAATGTGTCACACATACGGACGCTGTGCACGCTCCGTTTCTATCCCAGCCCCTGTATATTATGCGGATTTAGTAGCAACCAGAGCTAGATGTCATATAAAGAGAAAACTGTAAGTTGGTTTGGCACTAACATAGTAATCGCGTTGAACGCATGGACTGGCCAAAATCTGGGAGCTCGCTCCTTGCCAAATGCTTGTACCAGTGTAAATCGCTATTGTACAAACCGCGCTCCATTAACATTTCAGCAGGGCGCGCTTCGTATCTATAGCCAGGCCGTGCGCGCGCACCATTGCAAAATGTTGTAAATGGTAATTACGTCATTTCAGTGGTGTTCATGAATCCGATGGCTTGTCTGAAACCGGCTCGGTGATCTCATCGCTATCCTCTCTTATGTCAGTTGGTCGCCCACGAAGGCGCCGCGAGTTTGAAGCCGGTAAGTTCAAAGCTACCTCCAATGAGTTCCAGTCAGCTATGACATTTTCAGGCGATATCAATGCGAATCAGTCGAATTCTGACGCTGCATTAC